TGAATAAGCTTTTTTTAGCATTTCCATAAAATCTTTACATATGCTTGCACAGTACTAAAATATCATCCATTATGTGATGCCATGTTTAATTGGTGCCCTGTGTGTACCTGGCTGACCCAGGAAAGGTGGTGGGCCCCACTGGAATAGAAGAACAGTAGAAGGTCTCTGTGGCCTATTTGAGCGTATTCTGTTTTGAAGGGAGACTGGTAAATAAGAGACAACAGGGACAAATTTTATCAATGAAGAAAGACACAGATTGAAATGCAGAAGGTGGCAGAAGCCATAGGACCATTTCCTGGAGATTCTGAGAAGTTTGTAATGTTAGAGATACCCCATATACTCAGAATGCTGGGATGCCAGGTGTCGGAGTACTGGGGATACTGGATGTCAGGGATGTTGTGTGCTGGGATGGTGGATACTGGAGACACTTGGATGCTGAAGATGTTGGAAAGTTAGAAAAGGGATGCTGAGATCCTGGGGATGCTAGGGATTTTGGCATGCTGAAGAAGTTGGGGTGTTAGGGTTTGGGGAAGCTGGGGTGTTAGGTTGCTAGGATGTTTTGAATCTTCATTCTGTATTTGGAAGGTGGGCGTCCAGAGCAGGACTGTTCCTTGAGAAAGGTGAAGATGGAGTCCAAGTGGAAATTTCCTCCTGCTCCATAAACCCCTCGAACTTCCTAAAGTAACCACTCTTCCTCCTGGTGACCAAGTATAGATTTGGTCTGGGGGGAGGAGCAGGGCTTTCTGCACCTGTTCTCTGCCCACCATCCAGAGCCTGGTCCCACACACATATCTGAGGGTAGGGGGACGAGCCCTCTGCTTCCTGGGCCAGCAGGCCATATGCATACTCTTACAGTCACACTCATGAACACTTACATTGCACACTGTCACTGTATACATTCACATACTTGTGCTCATACACATTATTGCTCAACATTCATATGCAACTCACACATCGACATAATCACATTCATGTACACATACAGCTCACGGTTATGTTCCCACATTCTCACACACACCTTGAACTCACACACTCACATATACATGTGCACTCAGCACACACAGGAGACGACTTGGAGGACCCACTGATTGGCTGAGTAACCCCTGCATGCCCATGACCTCCTCTGATACAGGCCATGGATCCCAGCTCCGTGTCTCCTGATGGCCTCTGATCAGACTGTCCCCATTATGGTCACCCCAGTGATGGAGGAAGTACTTCTGTGTATGTTTATCTTATTGTTTAATAAAGTTCTGTTTGGCCAATGAAACAGAAAGTTAGGCAGGACTAGGAGTCAAAGAGGATTCTGGGAAATGTAGTAGAGAAGTGGTGATCCAGGCAGGAAGTGACATAGCAAGGAGACTCATATTTGAGCAAGGAGAAATAGGAAGAGTGCTCTTTTCCCCTTCCTCCTCCAGCAGCGGGATGTGAGCCACCGGCAAGGAGGGACGCCAATAAGGCATCCGATAAGATAAGTCTTATAAAATATATAGATTTATGATAATTAAGACTGAGCTAGCAGACGAGAATCCTAGTCATTGGCCAAGCAGCATTTGTACCTAATACAAGTCTCTCTGTGCATTAATTTGGGCCCTAACTCAGGCAGGTGGCTGGCGTAGAGCGCACACTTGGCGGTGGGCCTTGGCGACTTTTGGCGGAAAGATTTATCATAACACCCCAGTCCAATGTTCTGCCCATACCTCATGTTTGAATTCTCACACCATTTCCAAAGCAGACTCAATGGTTCTCACAGTGAATATACAACCATGAAAAGCAGCCATGGGCCGCTGACTGCAGTGAGCCGAGGGTACCTTCCCCACAGTTGTTTCTTCCTAGTGTGGGAGATGCAGACCAGCAACCCACTGATTTCCTCTAGCGGACATCCAGCCAGTGATAGGCTCCAGCCCACCAGCAGAGATGTGTGCAGGAGGTGGTGAGCTAGGTAAACCTTAGGCATGGGCTTGGATAGGTTTGGATGGACTGTGTCAGGAGGAAAAGAGCCAGTGCTTTGGATCAGAGTGTCATCTTTCTATCCCTCTGGGGAAGCCACTTATGTCCGTAGACCCTCCCTCTTCAACTTTGGAAACCACTTTGTGACAATGGCACTATAGTCTTTTGAGAGTGGCCAGTGTCCCTCCTGACCTTTCTTGCCTTTGCTAGAACTCCAGGTGCACCTTGTGTGTACACTTTCTGGAGTTTTGCTCACCAGCTGGCATGGGCAGGAGAGTCTTGGTGTCTGTTCCCTTTGGCATATTGAGCTCTGGCAAAATACTGAACCTTCAAGGAGTCAGGGAGCCATAACCACATTAGATGGATATGTAGGGACTCTTGGGGTTCACTCTTTGTAAATGGCGTCCAAAGTAGAGTGCCTAGTGACACTGTCATAGCCTATGGCCCCATGCTAACTCAACACTACCCAAGGTGAGTTAGATGGGACAACCAGTAATGCCTGGAGGGGTGGGAATGTCTCCTCGGTGGAGGACAATTCAAATTTCACATCAGAAAGGCTAGTGACTATCTTCCTGTTAGATACTGACCTCAGGACTGCCTGGAAGGGTGTTAAAGACTTCCTGCTGGGGTAGATGCTAGTGGCTGCTGGGCATCTGAGAGCCACAGAGGAGTATGAGGAGCAACTCAAATAAAAGCCAGCAAACCCCAATCCCAGGTGGCCCCACCTTGGAAGAACCTGACACCAGGGTCTCTGTTGTCAGCCTAGAGTCCCTGCTCTGTCTCCAGCACTTCTGCAGACAAAGGACAATGGTGGAATCTGCAAGAAGGGAAAGTGGATTTCAAGGATGACATTAAAGAACCTCAAAATCTCACACTCTTGGAGTCGAGAGTTGACTCGCATGGCCCATGGCAAAATGAAACAGGTCTAGTGAGAAAAAAAAATCTTTTGGGTCTCATTCTTCATATTTATAGCTATTATGCAACCAGAAAAATGAGTTTTAATATTTGATGTGCTTGGATTTGGAAACTGAGATCTTATTACATAATGAGTAAGCGATGCTTCCTTGGTGGGAGTAAATAGCTTTATATTTACTGCTGTATACACACTATGGAGAATCTTTGTGACTAAACAGAGACTCACAACAGAGTTGTCTTAAGAATGAAGAGATGGTTAACTTAGAGGGACTTGAGGCTTCTACCTGTAAGGTGGAATACTGCTCTGGGACCCTTGGAAAAATGTGACATTTCAGTTTCAAAACTGTATCAGGCATACCCAACTTTATTATACACCCACACACAGATGGTCCATGGGATTTTCCCACCTCATGGTGCAAAACAGACCCATATTCAATTCTGTATTGAATTCCAATCTCTTCCCTAGTTGGCCATATGAAAGACAAAGCTTCAGTGATACAGGTCAGTAGCTGGAACCATAACCCTCCCCCTCATAATCATATATGTGTCCCCTACTCACCGGTGGCTGCCCCCAACAGACCTTTACCCTCTGCATCCCTAAGTTTTAGAAAGTAAGAAAGTACTTCAGAGATACCTCAGCTTCCCAGCACAAAACTCCTGTGGTAGACATCTCATTCCTTGACCTGCCCAGGGCCCAGGGGAAGCTGCAGTCTCATTGCGCCGCCTTCCAGGTGGGGTTCCTTACTGGAGCTCTTGGGTTTTTGGTTTCCTTTGGTTCCTTCATGGAGGTAAAATGAACATAAACCAAGAGGACTCCAGCTAAAAGACCAACTCCAACCTCTAAGATCTGGTAACCATGTGCTATGTGTGTCCACCACCAAGAACTTCACCATCAATCTTAGTTGACAGTAAGTTTGAGCGTAATGCTCCAGTCTCTCAAACTGAAGCCTTTACAGCTCATCAACATGCA